GTTTCATTATTTTTTCCTTGTGTCTGCATTGTAGTATAGACTAGAAAGGGCTTATCAATATCTTTAATGCCAATCTTCATGAAAATTCCAGCTTTTCTGATGAGAAGCTTTAGATTCTCTTTGCTTTATAGACCAAAGACTGAAAGTAAAGTCTAGAAGTATGTGGCCAGTTTACAGTTAAAACTCATTTATCTCGTGGGTGTCATTACATTGTCATTGTATACARTACTTTCAGAATTGCTTTGGCATGTCCATAGAGTTGCACCAGGGAAAATTCTTGCATGGAGACTTGCTTAGGAAATGTTTATATTTCAGTTTTTACTGAGCGGCGCAGACATGAAACACAATGTCTATAAAGTAAAGTACTCAACTTTTCATACAGTAATATCCAGTTCAGATAGAAAGAATACTCAGTGAAGAGGAAATTCAGCATGAAACAAAAGCATAAGCTCAGTCACGGACAAGAAAAAAAGAGCCTAAAGTTTGGTAAATGGTTAAATCTAGTTTGTTCAGCTATGTATAAGCAAGAGAGCCTTTTGGCCAGAAAACTAGTGGTGCAAGCCCTTCTAAACTATAAGCAGATGGTAACTTTTTCAGAATTTGTGAGGTTTTACATTGCAACCTTATGTTGTGATCTGTATGTTTATTTCTRTACTATCACAGAATCACAGAACRGTTGYGATTGGAAGGACCTCTGGRTATCATYTGGTCCAAGCCCCCTAGCTCAGGCAGGACCACCTAGAACTGGTTTCCCAGGACCATCCCYAGATGGCTTTTGAGTATCTCCAAGATGGGAGGCTCCTCAGTCTCTTCAACTAACTATGCCAGTGCGCAGTCACTCCCACAGTAAAAACCTGTGTCATTCTGTTGAGAGGTTGTTCCTGTGCTTCTCTTTGTGCTCGCTGCCTCTGGTGCTGTCACTGGGCAAACTGAAAAGAACCTGACTCCATTCTTTTTGCACCCTCCCTTTGGTATTTATGTATACATATCTGTGAAATCCYCACTGAGATTGTCTTCTCTAGTCTAAACAGTTCCAGCTCTCAGCTGTTCCCCGTAGGTGAGATGGTCCAGTTCCTTAACCATCCTCCTGACCCTTTGCTGGTTTCTTTCCAGTGTGTCCATGTCTGTCTTGTACTGGGGAACTCAAAACAGGATCCGGGCACTCCAGGTGTGGCTTCGCCAGTGCTGAGCAGATGGGAAGGATCACCTTCCTCAACCTGCTGGCACCACTGCTCCTCGTGCAGCCCAGGAGTTGTGTGCGTCCTTGTGTTAGACTGAYGTATAAAAAGGCAGATTTATCCTGTGGAAATGGTCACAGTGCAGACTCAGAGCTAATATCTATTTCTTTGTGCACCTGCAMGTTTTGTACCTCAGGAGCAAAGGTGCTTATTGGCTCAGGAGGAGTTTAKTTTAGCAGGGCAGGGGAGTAATGCAGTGCCTCCATCATATCTTCATGTCTGGTCCTACCGTAGACATGGAAAGGGTTTTCCTCCATACAGTGGGAGTGGATAATGGCCTAGCTCCAAGGCCAGGAGAAGGAGTAGTCAAACAAGATGGATACCTGCATATTCCATGTAACGTTTTCCTCCTTCCATCTTCCTGAAAAATCAAAGAAGCAACAACCAACAAAAATGGGAAGCATCCGAGACTTCTCGAGCAAACAGAAAATTAAATGTCGCAGGTGCACKCCAAATCTTCTTGTCCCATCTTCTTCCTTACTCAAAGTATGTTTAGTAACAACAATGGTGTTGGAGCCTTCAGAGTATGGATTCTGTAGCAAGTAAAGTCAGGGATATTTTAGTGGATTGAGGAACCACACARAAGGCAAGTATATCTCCATGTATAGCTCTTTCAGCCATTGGAATGTCCCTCTTTTCCTGAGGTACATGTACTCACAGATTTTAGGTGTGTTTTAAGGCCAGAGGACAGACAGTCCATGCACAGCTCCATGCATTTCCTGAAGAAAAAAAAGAAGGAATACTACAAAGAGTCTACCCAGTCTTGCACAGATCATGATCACAGAGAAGGGAGCATATTCTCAAGAAAGGACTTCTGGATCAAGCTTGCATAAATAAACCTCAGGGAGTGCGTGGGTGTATGAATCAAGTGAAAGATACCAAGAACAAAGGTGAAATTTTACTTGCCTGCTGAAATTTTACTGCTGAATATGCTCTCAATTCAATCATGGTGGGAGAGTTAATGTCCACCTTTAAGAACCTTTAAAAAATCATCTTGAGGTGCAAGTTTTTATGTGTACTGGACTTCCAGAGTTGTCAGGTTATTACGAAAGAGTAACTAGTGCCAAAATGTGAAACAAAAGCTTCATACAGCTGCTAGATTAGGTGAATCTATTTCCCCAGTCATCCATCCAAYATTCCAGTTGAACCTCTAGCCAAAATTCATGAGGCAAATTTCATTTTATTAGTGATGCCTAACCTGGAGTTGGCATCCTGTTGTAGTCATGATGGTGGGRTGGATAGGAGGCTGAAAGATGAATTAATAACACTTCATTATGATGAAATATCAAAATATGTTGGAAGGTCACATTGTATTGTATAATTATACTTTCAAAAGAATTTAAATTCTTGCTTCAGCCCTTAGTGAATCTGAGGCAGCAGCAATGATGGGAAAAACCTTCCTTAAAAATCCCAAGAATTGTACTTGTTTTGGCATGACACTGCCTAAGGTGATTTGCGAACAAGGCTACCTTTGCCAAGCTTTCACATTAATGCAAGGTTCAGCATACATTTTAAAACATTAAATCAGCTTTCCATTTGCATGGATGTGATTATCTGAATGTGTAGATTTTGTTAGTTTAAAGGGCCCCAATATTCTAATGCTGGAACTGAAATTAAAAATTGAAGTAACTATGTTAATAATTTCAAGCAGTAGTTAAAAAAAAGTCTAAGGTTGTGATATTGCTTGACTTTGGAATCTTCAGAGTGTGTCTGCTGACACAAACAATGCTAGGATTGTAGCTMCTGAATGTTTTGAAAATCAGGCTCAAAACTTAGGGCAGAAGTAAATGCTCCTGTCTGAGTGGGTTAAGCTTTGTGTTTTTGTAGAAGCCAGTATTGCTGTATACCTTAAAGCTTTAAAAAATACGGAAATCCCAAAGTATGAGTTGCAATGGTCTTGTCAAAGTGGCGACAGTAAGTAAATATGATGTGTATCTGGGAAGCAAAACATCCCATTATTTATGATTTATTTAGGATCAAAATAAAGAAAGYCCTTTATGTACTAGTAACAGGCTACCACATTTTACCCCATCAGATCAAATCTCATGTCAGATGGTTTCAAATCCAACTTGATTAAATCATTCTCTCCATGTCCCTGCACAAAGCAGTTTGGAATATAAGTGGATACAAGATAACCTGAATGGCAGCAAACAAGAAGGCAAAACAAATATTCAGTTCATCAAAGAACAGCATGTCTGCCAGTTCACCGCTTGTTCTTGGTGGCCCAGATTTCTGCAGAGATTGTTATGTCTGACTAAGAAATGGCACAGTGCTCTGTGTCTACTTGGCTGTGTTTGGAATRGACCCACAAGACAGGCAGTGACATGGAGCTCCGTTACCATAGTGAGTGTCAAGATGGAAAGCGTCATTTTTCAGGATTAACTCATGGTTAGGAAAAGGAGATACGGATCATACATACACCTGCTCCTGCATGGGGGCAATGAGAGGGGAAGAACCATAGCTGACTATTCTTTGTTCTCCAGTCTAGATGGGAGAGGTCTTCTGTGAAAAGCAGCAGTGAAATGATGCCTTTTGCTGGTGTCAAAGGCTTGTATCAGGCAGGAGTATGTGGAGAGAGGCAAGGAAGTGGATATTTCTCCATAACCAAAGGCTGCCAATGAAAGCATTAATTCATACATCCTTTGTCAAGTCCCAGCATCTCAGCTGAGCAGTTTTAGAAACTGTAACCATGAGTGTACAATATGAGCTGTACTTAGAGAGCTGTGCTCCAGAAGAGAGGGACAGCCTGGCCATCAGTGGACCCAAGCTACTGTCTCAGTTTGCAGTGTGTGTAAGTGGTGTTTCTTGGAGCCATGTACCATTTGTTGAATCAGAGTGGTACACAACATCTGTGGCCTGATCTGCACAGATGCCCTCATTCTTGGCTGGATCCTTACTCATCTGTCAGTAAATCRTTGGAATATCTTGGGAGTTTGAGCACTATTCACACCTTACCTAATTCAACACAAAGCTGGCAATACAGCCATACTGCCATACAAATCARAATTTCATCTTTTACTTAGGCACTGTGGGTGATAGTATTTTATACATGATGAGTGAAAATACTTTAAATTGCACTTTGAAATGAAAAAGTGTRTCTGAAAGTGTTTTTAGTCACTGTTTTTTTCTGAAAGCCTTTGGACATTCAGCCTAACAATTTGTTTCTTTCCTGAACATATTTTTGTTTATGCAGCAGAAGTATTCCTCTACTTCAAGGTAAAWTCTGTACCGTTTCACACCCCATTGTTTACAGACCTTCATGAATCCATTGTCATYTATTTGACCCCTTRAACCTAGGAGCAMATTTMCTATAAACAGTACGCAAGAAATTTMATTTTGAATTTATATTCATAATAATTAATCCTTAATTTAATTATGCTTTAAAGAATTGCATGACATTCACTGTTTTTGTCTCTTAGCAGCTATTTGAGTGTTCTTYGTAGTGAAAACTATTTTGTTAATGATATAATTCACAGGATAGCATTAGTTTAGTTTAGGGAAAATAACTTCATTCATGCAAAAAGACACAAATTTTCAAAAGTAGTGTATTCAGAAATATGTGTCATCTGTCCCCTTTTGTTACCAGTTTTAGTAGAAACTTGAAAGGTTCACTCACAGACTGGATAAAGCATGGAAGCAGAAGATACGAAGTCTCAGAAAAACCCCACGTTTTCACCTTACATTGGCAACTGTCAATGACAAATATAAATTTATATTAATTAAAACAAGTCACATCCTAAAAACATCTTTTTATTTTTTCAGACCACTCTTCCGTGGAAATTCAGATGTTGATCAGCTAGGAAAAATCTTTGAGTAAGTAATAACTAGTTGCCTTACATCAATATCTGTTTARCACTGAAACCTTATGAGATTTCTTTGGCATGTTTTTATGCAATAATGTGAATAGAACAAAGTATTCCTAGAACATATTTCCTATTGCTACCATATGCAACATGATATTTCCGTGTATTCTGTGTCAGAGTGGGAGGAGGAAGCAACATGGAATATAGTTCTGCAAAATTGACAGCCATTATCAGGAAGTTGTGAGACTTCTGGGTTTGGGCTTTTAAGTCTCTTAAACATACTGTGTATTTACCATTCATACATATTCATAAACAGTTAAGTCCAAGAGACTCTCTCCATGTAAACAAACACAGAGGTTTTATTTTTCAGAGATTTCTTTGTGTACTGCAGAAAACAACATTAGAATACATTAAAATCTGAGATGTCTAAGATTATTGCCAACAGCATCTTTGTAGAAAAGACTTCTGAACCTCAAAAATATATATTTGCTTTTAAAATACGTTGTGTAGCTTCTTAACAGTCTGTATTTTGGTCAGGAGGGTACTGAGAACAGAAGGAATATGAGCATTTTAACATGTGCCTTCTCAGAGATGAATTRGCTTTATTTGAAAACCATTTTACARTTCTAGGAGTTTGTGTTTTTCAGATATATCAAATACATTGAGGAGTGAGTAGATTCTAAACTCTCTGAGACAGAATATTTCTCATCCAAAATTAAGTTATTGATATTACCAATGTGATAATTAAGTAGGATTATATTACTTTTTCTTCTGAAAGCTCTTCAGAGTAAGGAACATTTCTGTATTTTAGGTGGTATGTAAATTTAMGATCTGATGTAGGTATCATGTAGTTAGGAAATCAAAGCCACATAAGAGCTGCTACCAGTCCAGAGAATGAATGCCTGTTTGCCTCTGCACCTCTGTCTTCCCTTTCTGTATGGAGGGGCTTCAGGGATCCAGGGATCTGGCTCAAATAAGAGGTAGATAGCACAGAGAGAGAGAGAGAGAAGTATTATTCCAAAACGTTACTCTCTTGAAGATACTCTAAAGATAAGATAGTCAAATTTCCAAGAAAGGCTTTAACTGAACAAGTAATGAATTTCTCTGTTTAACCATTTTTCCATTTCTCAAATATTAACAGATCTGTTTCTAAGCATTTTCATTATTTAATATGGGGTTCCTAAATTGCAGGTCTTGATTTCACACAGTTGACTTCCCTTTCCTGCATACCATACCAGTGTATGTGACTCACTTGTGTGGTTAATTTGTCATGCGCTAAATAGCTCTTCCTGCCCAATCCAGAAAAATCAGTGCTTAAAGTTTTACTTTTTCTTCCTTTGCCAAAACTACTCCTTTAGCCCTTCAATATTCTGCTTCATTAAATGAAGACAGCTTTGATRCTTGCAACATATTTTACAATTAAAAAAGACAAAGCTGTGTTTTCTTTCATTTGTGACATTTAAGGGGAAAATGAAAATGAACTGGCCTAGGATTAAATGCATAGCTGCTAGTGGCAGCCTCCAATGGAGATCTTTCCATCCCTAGGGGCTGAGATTACCTGTGCAGAAAAGAATTCACTAAGAAAAGAAAATGCCATGCTAAATTTAGAAGAAATTCCTTATTGCACATCTACTTAAAGAGAAAGTTTGGATTTGCTTCTTTTGTGCAGTCTTCTTAAACAGTTGAAAAGTTTCTGTCTTGGGTTCTGTGGGATTATGCCAAGTAATGTTTATTTTGTGTTTTCACAGCTGGAGAACCCCCTACAGTTAGGCATAGCTCTTCTTCTAGGAGGGTTGTTTCTTTCTACAGTAGTGACTCATTGTGGAGATCAGTTTGGACAGAAAGAAGTTTCAGGATTTTCGTGCAATCTGGACTGATGCATTCTTTCAGAGAATGGTGCTGTGGTCTGACTTTGCTTTGCATGTGCATTGTGATTTGTGTCAGTAAAATTCCACAGTGTGTGAGGGTAAATCCCTCRTACATCCCTCCCAAAACATTTTCGGGCTTTCCCAGGACGCTGCCAGCATGTGGCATATCCTCATAGATTTCAGGCTAAGCTGCAATGGTTTGAGCAGACTTGTCTCCCATTGTGATCAGTGGGAGTGGAAAGTACTCAGCATTTCTCAAGACCRGGCCTGAACCCTTGGCAGGAGGTGAAACACATCCAAGATACTCCCAAAGTTACTCACTGAAATGGTGGTGCTACCAGACCAACAGAGTGAGTGAGAGCAGCTACCCAGATACTCATTTTTAGRGGGTTTTCAGTACTGCGTGTGTGTAACTAAAAATGTCTCTCCTTTCCACTCTCAGTCCTGTCCAGCCTCCCCCTGTCAGGCAAGCTGCCTCCTGGTTTCTTGTCATCAGCCTTGCCTGTGCTTGTGCTTGTTCTGCCCTGTTCATGCTCTGCCATGCAGTCATTGAAAGAAGAGGCACTAACCAAATMCATTTGAATGACAGGTTAAATGTCATTGTTATCTGAAGTATTTAACTCYCCCATCYGTSATGCTGTTTGTGTTATATTTAATAWTTGATATATATTTAATAYGGGTCCAGTTCCTGAAATATCTAATAAAATGGCTTTAATTACCACGGCCAAGGCGGTTGCCCCATACCCCACTGGTGATAAATGTCAAGTGCAGTTTTCCATACATATTTAACTTAGCGTTTCCCAACAGCTGTGTTATGTTCTGATCTAGGAGACTTCAGTTGTCCTGAGTTTGTAATTGCTTTGCCCGCCCAGCTATGCTCTTATTTTGAGGACAATTTTCAGAGGTATTTTAAGTGAGCCAAATTACAATTTAAAGTCCATGTTGGTAGAGGTGGGGTAATTCCATTATGTTCGCTGAGGTAACCTGTGATTTACCTCAGCATAGTTGGCCCGTGGCCTCACCTCACGMAGTCYTGCGACAAACTCAGTGAGAAAAAAGGTTAATGCTGCTCCCTAGTGGCAGTGGGCTTTGTATTCAGTGACCGAGTATTCAGTGACATTATTTTTATGTCCTTTCTTATCTTACCCTGCCAGTGTTCCCATTGAAAATCTCGATTTTGCCAGTTATAAAAATTTATGCTCGCTGAAACCAGACAAGTAATGTATGATCTTGTTCCAGAATTTCCATCAGAAACTGGTTTTCAGCCCCACAAATATTAGCATCAGAYTAAAATGTGAAATGTATGAGACATATACCATCATTGATGGTATTACCTACTATTTAATTTATTTGTATTTTAGACCTCTGCATAATTATTTAGTAAGTATAAATATATTCTATAATTTAAAGAATAAAGAAATAAAATATTAAAGTAAATTAAAATATTCTACTAAAGAGTAAAGAAAAACTAAAATACAGTTGAAAGCAAAACCACAAAGACACTCAAGTGCCTTTCCACTTCTAAATTGAGACTTTAAAACCTGTATTGTGAAGCAAATAAATTGTTTAAATTTGGGCAACAATTACTGCACATAGCTTTGAAGCATTATGAAACGTCCCTTTTATTGCCTTACCCTCATCTTGACCCACACTCTTCTCTCAGTCTCTATTCTTGTGAAAAAAGATCCTCACATGCAATTCCCCTTTGAAACTTACTGCTTTTAATCATCCTGGAGTGATGTATGTTCCACCATCCAGTCAAGAGCTGAGCAACTTTTTTCTAAGGCACTCARGCTTTTTTCAACAAAAAAGACTCCGAAAACTGAGACTTAGGTCAGAAAATTTTCTTGCCCACAAAATGATTTCTTCCAAGCACATTGAGGACCTGTGTTCATCAGCTTCYATTCACAAAGATCATTGTACTATTATACAGTTAAATATTTGAGCTCATTTAAACAAAAATACTTAAAAACTGCCACTCATTGTACCCAACATAAAGGGGAAACTGCGTGAATGTTCAGACCTAACGTTATGTTTTTCATTTCACAGTGTAATTGGACTCCCAGAAGAAGAGGATTGGCCTAATGATGTTGCCCTTCCAAGAAATGCTTTTACTTCCAGACCTGCACAACCTATTGAAAAATTTGTTCCAGATATTGATGAAGTAGGCAAAGACTTGCTTCTTGTAAGTTTCTATTTGTTGTTCTCCAAATGTGACTTGGAGTCATGTGGCTGATGATTCCCACTGTGCATGCAACTTGCCAAGCAACAATACAGTTTCCATTTAATGAAGTTACTAAAAAAAGATCAAAAATAGAAAAGACAATTCATGTTTATCTGTGAAGCAACAGCACAGAGACACTGCCTTTGGCTCAAGAGGTGTCAGAGCTGAGAATARTTCAAGATTAGTGAACTGGGGCAGGGAAGTGTCCATTAGAACTTACTATTAGACCCTCATCTSTGACCGCTCTAGTGCCACTGCTTCAGTCATCCTTACAGTACAGGCCTGATTTTTGTGAGTACAAAAATGGATCTGCCATTTTTTGAAATATGGTGGGCCCAGTGTAAAGCAGGAAATAGGCTGTAGTGGCAGATTACATCTGCATGYCTTCTACTGAATGCTGAAAACTTGAGACTTGGAATTTGGAATTTGSCTCTTGCAAATGGCAAGGCTGAACAGAAGCAAACAAACTGGGCTGGTACAGCTATTTCCATCATTACTGTAGCTATATAAGAAAGCCCAGTCCTGAAGTTCAGTCTTGAAATGGAGTATAGGGAATGACTTTGCATCAATTTGCCACTTGCTGTGCTTGTTGAAATCTAGTTAAATTTGTTCTCTGGAAGTCTTTTAAAGATCTTGATTCATATGAGGTAGATAGAGTGGGCTCAGTGCAATTCTTAAAAGACTTGATGCACCTCTGCAGTAGCTGCTGCCTCTGGCCCAGGTTATCTCAACAGCAGATGATCCTCCAGTGTCCTCATGACTGCAGCTCCCAGCTGCAGAAAGCTGGACTRCATCTGGACACTTGACAAGGGAGAAACACATCTGTTGTGCTTGCAGACAGCCTGGAAKTGGAAGCTAGGCATGGGACAAGAATTAGATTTGGGAACAAGGAATAATATGTGACATAGAGCTCAGTGAGTGTGAGGCATGATGTGAGGGAGGAAGAAGATAAGTATCTTTGCCTGGAAGATGAGGTAGCAAAAACATCTGTTCCTGCAAGGCAAAGAGATCATAACTGAGAGCCACAGATGAAAGGGGAGAATAGGATAGGACTGAAAGTCACWGAATTAAATTTCAGAAGTATAATGATAGAAGTTCTGATACAAGAAAAGAAAGTAGGACTAGGAAGTGGTTAGACAAGTGTAGGAAGAATATTATTTGGAGGTGAATGAAGTAAAGAGCCAGGTATAAACGCAAGGCTGGGGGAGAGATTTCACTGCTGGCTGGACAAAGGTTGGGATACAGATCTGGAAAGGTGGCCATCACAGTGCATCTGGGAAGAAGAGGGAGAAAATGAACATAGAATATAAGCAGATGAAGGCTGTCCTGTGCATGTAAATTCAAGAAAACCTGTATTCTGGAATTTGATAAACTATGAAWACTTGAATTTTCTAGCATGTAATTTTTGAGGTGGCCATATTCTTCCAATGTGACCCCACTGCTTGTTTTAATATGGATGATAATTGTGCACCACCTTCTGAGACCCTGTTGTGTCTTGTACTGATCATATACTGAAGGTGGTATGCATTAATGTATGTGTGCAATGATAGTGCTGTTAACTGTACATTTTAGTTAAAAACAACCTCTTTTTATACTTTCAGAAATGCYTAGCGTTCAACCCAGCCAAGAGAATATCTGCGTATGTTGCCCTCTCTCACCCATATTTCCATGATTTGGAGAAATTCAAGGAGAGTCTGGACTGCCACATGTCATCCAGCCAAAACTCCAGTGAGGTGAATGCATCATAAGTGCTGACTGAAGATGAACCATAAATGAAAAAGACATGTTGCTGACAAGGCCACTGTTCCGTACAAACCACATAGCTGTCCTAGTGAAGATCATAATTTGGAGGTTTTATGCACTTATCTTTTATTTTGGGATTGTGATGTGCTTATCCATGGAAAACAATCTAGTTTACTTTTATCAGAGCAATGCAAGGGCCAGGGCTTTGACCTGCTCCTGTTGCAGCTTTATGTTTGTTTTGTTTTTGTTTTGTTTATCTACCTGGGAAAACTCCAGACGAAGAGAAGCTGCTGACCAGTTTTGCTGCCATTTTATCCTTCTAATATTGAATGCTGCCAGTGTTTGATGATCGAGTCACTGCCAAAACATGATGCAATCTCTCTCTTATCTCTAGCTGCTGAAGCATGATTTGGTACTTTATTATTATTATTATGTGATATTTAAAGAATGGCATTGAAATATCAGATCTCTGCAACCTGCAGTCAACTGATACATTGCGTTAATACATCCGGCTACTGTTCATTCATAGCATATATGCAGGTGCTTCCCCACTTGAAAACWTGGATTAATTAATTTATCATTTCATTGCTCTATAAAAATAAGTGATGATGGTGTTCRTAATAAATGTCTCAGCTTTTAGGTTTTTTTCATACACAAACGAGTTATTATCTTGCTGTGTTTGTGTGCACATTTCAAAAAACTGTCTTGTTCTTAAAGACTTTCAGTTTCCAAATGGTCAGTTTGTGTTGAAGTGCAGACACATTCTAGTCCATCRTCTAACCCATCATTCCCCCCTGGAAACAGCTGCAAGCATATTTTCTTCATCTCATTCCAAATAATTTTCTGATGTCCAGCYCAAGGACATGAGCAGAGCCAATGAAAATCAATACAGATTTTCACCTTCAACCTGTACTCATCGTCAGCCAAAAAGGAAAATAGAAAAAATATTTCTGGTTCAGAAGCAGAGAATCCTACACCTGTAATAAGCACAGAGAAGTGTTTGTGCTGCATTGTACGCTGTATACTGTGCTGCCTTACCTGCAACACCTCCCAATGCATCACAAGTGCATGAACAGTRCTGTCTCAAAATCCCACACATGTCACTTATTAAGCAGGCTCGTTTTCTATGCAGAAATGCATGACCTTCTCTCCTAAACCACCATGTGGGTATACTGGCACATGCCTCATCACTAAGGGTAATGTGCCACRATTGAATGTCAAAATAACTAAGCAATTCACTTGTATTTATAGCACAGTTATTTTAAATATTACCTGAAATTTTTATATTTAGTATTTTTACCTTAACTAAAATAGATTTTCAGTATTTTGAAAAGAAACTTTTATTTTTTTAATACTGTACTGGGGAAAAAGAAATATTTTAAATCCATTAARGCTGTTCCCTAGCATGAATTCAGTGCATTTACCTGGACATGACTTGGGGGAAAATATTGGTCCAATGAGTATAACTGATGCTAAGTGAGGCAGCCAGCTTTGCTTACTCCTGTGACAGTCCCTTAGGCTTCTCTCTTCCTCATCTCTATTTCATCTTGTCTAGGTAGTGAGCTGGCATTATGTGGTTGTCCACGGCATGCTTGGCAGAAGCAGGTCCTTAGCAGTGAGTTGAGCAATGTAACTTTTCCAGTTGTGACAGGGGAATTTGTAGCCATCTCACTGGCAGGTCTCTCACTCATGTGGCAAACTTCCCTGTAAACGTTCAGGTATCTGCTCTGTCTGGGCCATGGCCCACTGCTAGGATAGTGAGTGGATCTTACCTGTCTCCTGGATAAATCTTTTCATTACCGTTAGACACTTAAGTGTGTGATATATGGTTAAATTAGGTCTAGTTTAAACAAGCCAGATTTAAAASCATCACTTGCATGCTTGCATACAGTGGCCTGTGCTTTTCTTTATGCCCAGAATGAGCCTATGCAAAATTTTACCAGCGTGAACAGGCAAGTTGCAAATTGGGCCTGGCAAGAGCATGCACGAGGCGTCTGCACACTGAGATACCACAGATGTGTAGCATCAGAATTTTGGAAGCTCTATGAGCAGCAAGCTGAAGGCCAGGGAGCTGTCACAGCAGCAAACCTTCTATTCTTAGCCTTGCCTTTGTCATTCTCTCTGTTCCTACACCCAAGGGGAGCTGCAGACCCACTGCACTGGTGTTGTCCCAACCCTATCCCTCTATGGGTCAGTGGACCTGAGTATGAATAATTTTTAACATTCAAAGAGAAGGATGGACCTGAGTGAAATTTTTGCAAATAATTTTTAAACACTTATTAGAACAACAAACAGAGCCAAAAGTCAGGAGACTCTTGCAACAGTAGCCATTTTACAAGTTTTCTATAGAGTTCAGTTAGCAGTTCTGAAAACATTCCACATTTTACCTAGCGCTGAGCTATCTGTTATATGTACATTATCAGGGCATTCAGCTGGCGTGGCTTCCCAGCACTTGTTCAGGRAACTCTCCCAGAGCACTCCACCAGCTAATATAAGGTGAAAATGTAGAGGAGGATATTATATTTTCCAAATTAGGCTTAAAATTCGCAGTTAGAAATGTGCATCTCTTCCATGTAAGAATCTGTTCTGTTAAGCTTAGCAAAGCTAAAGAATAAAGAATGTGATTGCTGAATGTAGATGCATTATTACGGTAAAAACAGAAAGGAGAGAAGAGAACACTTTAAGCCAAAGGTTAGTGTTGGCCCAGAAACTAATGAGAATGTGGAAATCACAAGGAATTTAACTCCTGAAGCAGTTATTTCCCAATCATAGTATCAGACAAAGAGCTAAGAAAGCAGCAGAGAAAAACAGGGGCTGGCTTATGGAATCAGAAGCAGAGCTTCTGCACCATGGTGCTGTATGTTGTCTAATATAGTAGGGTCTGGTTATAAATGAGAGTATTCAGGAGAACAGTTTGCAAAGGGCTGCATTAATGGCCACATTCTGGAACATCTTTCCAGAGGGAATGGGCAGGAACAAAACCAAGAAATCTTAAGTTCTRTCTTGGCAGGGTTAGGGAATATATTTCTCTGATGGGGTCCTTGTGGTAGTGAGGGCCTGGATTCAAAGGACCAACAATATTTCAAATTACCTCCTTTTCCAAATCTCTTTAGAAAGAAATTCCATTTGACTTGCCATAGGCTTAATCTTATTCCAGTCTTCCCTGCCAATCCATGTGGGGCTTCACTTACACTAGTGAACTGAGAAAGCCTGTTCTCTAGCCAGGTAAAGCACTGTTGTTGGTTAAYACTATGCCAGGAATCATATTTATAATTAGACAGCAGAGACAACTCTGGGACTGTGCTCAAACCCAGGCCTTTGCTCTTACTTTGCTGGTATAGCTCTAGTATTTTAGTACCTTTGCTCATTACTGCCATAGTGTAGGATGTAGGAATTGTGTATGTGAAAAAGAAAGTGCTGTGATGAAAACTCTTTGTACACCTTTAAATAAGACGTCAGAGTGCAATTCTTCTTAGTGATAACTAAGCCTGTATGTATTCTACAGGAGTGGTTCAACAGCAGCTAAAAAATGCTGAATAACAAAAGATGTATTAAGTATAGCTCCTGGAACACCCACAGCCAGGCACTGTGCTCTTCTAGCAGAGAACAGGGTGTTCTAAGTAATGAAAGGAGCAATTTCTATCTCGTATCAACCTTTTTTTTTTTTAATCACTACTACATAATTCTGCAGAAAAAAAAGCAGACCCAATAGCCAAGGGAAAAATCACCAAAGCCAGCTAGTGAAGTGCTAATTGCTGAACCATAGCAATCCATCTGGTGCAGCCCTTTTCTCTTCCCTCTGTCCACGCTCACATCAGCCTTCCCATTCTCCTTCAACTCCCTTATGTAAACAGGTTTCAGTGGTGCTCACAGGTGCTATTTCCAGCAAGATTCTTCCAGATTTTCAATAGCTCCACAGTGTCAATGTCTGCTACCTTCCTATTACCAAGCATTGCTTCTTTCAGTCCCACAGCCTAAACCAGTGATGAAAAAAGAATTTTGTGCACCTTYTTGCTTAGGCTTAGTTTTGTGTCCCCCTGTGTTGCCTTCAGTGTGGTTAGTAAAATTCTAAAAATAGGATTTGTGCATATTTCTGTGCAGGCTGTGCCCACACTCCAGGGTTTTATCAGCCTTCTAGTCCATAGTGGTCAATATTAGAGCATCTTTTCCTATTGTTTCTGCCCTAAAACACACCAAAAAATGAGGATGTCATCTTTGTAAAAAAATGAAATTTAGTGCTATATGTACAGAGCCTTTTTAATGAAAGTCATCACTAAATTGCAGCATTTGAACATCTTCTGCATAGAGGAGGGTTTCCAGCATCATAACTCTTACTTGGTTTTTATACGCAGTTGTTGAATAAGAAGAAAATGTTGTGCCTTGCTGCTTTTCACAGGTTCACTCACTGTCTTTGAGAAGTGTGTTTTATTATACTTACAGTTCTCTCAGCTGTTAGATATTAGACCAACTCTAATATGAAAAATAAAGATAAAACATGCTGTTTTGATAYTTTAGCCAGTGAACTTGGAGCACTTACCTGACTCACAGCTGYAAACATATCAGTTGTCAAATATGTATTTGAATCAGAAACCACATAGTTTGGGTTAAAAGGCCACAGGAATTATGTTCCATGTGTAAGACATGTTTGAATAATAAGGAAGTTTATGCTAAGAACTCTMTTTTATAGAACCACTTGGCTAGTATTTTTCATATACAGTAGGTTCAGGAATAGATTGACTTTTATATACAATGTGAATTAGAAAATACTAGGCTATTTGAGTGATTTTGTTGTGTTACGCTTGAAGCTTGAATTGAKTGCAAGCTTAGGAACCTAACATATTTATTTTATTGCTTCAAAACTGCATCTAAATATCAAGATCTTTTTTGATGTTAACAGGATTTCACACTTTTTTTTTAAAATGTGTAAATTATTTTCTTGGAATTAGTATGTTAGAAAAAGCATTTTTCCAAGCGGCAGTAGTGGGGGAAAACTTAGGAAATACATTTTTACATTGACAGAGAAGTGAAATCTTCAATAACTGACTATCAATAAGCTATCACTTTTACTTTCTTTTGGTTACTAAGCCTTGAGTATACAGTATTCAATGAAGAAAAAGTCAGAAACCATCTGTGGAAAAGCACATGAGATTTTATATGTTCAAGTTTCCAAGTTTTGTTCTCATATCCATTTTTTTTGTGCAAGTACAGTTCAGATGTACAAAAATATGACTACAATTTTAACAGGCTGTACAACTCAAATTGGAGTTTTATTTGTGAGCTGTTTATTATCTGTGTCCTGCAARTTATTAGATAATGGCTGTAATATAACTCTAGTTTCTGGACTAGACTCTGTAACCATCAAACTTCAATAATTTATGTAAAACAGAAAGAAGCTTTCTCATCAATTTTAATTAACCAGGCCATTAAAAGAAGAAAGATGTGGACATGTGAACTGACAAACAGACTTTTGCCAAGTGTTGTTTCTTCCCTTTAGTTTGAAGCTTAGCAAGTATTGCATACTGATATGCAATATATATACAATATAAGAACCATAAAGACCACTTAAGACTAGTGTGCACAAATAATATGAAAAATGGCTCGTTAGACTCTTGGAGAAACCAGCTGAAAAACATTACCTTAGCTGTAACACTCAAAATTTTGAAATTCGTATATTTTCCCATTAAAACTATTCCTGAAAAATAGTGTGTATGTTTTTAATTCAGTGACAGGCACCCAAACAGAACTGAATCAAGTGGGAACTTGTTCTCAGAAGTGATTCTTCCAAGCCAAGTARATACCATCAGTTCCTATGTACTCATCGGAAACTAAAATTAACCAGCACCATTCTTAGATGAGCCTTTTGCTTTCTGAGCAGAAAAACCCAAAGGTGTGGTGAGTAAAGTTAGGGGAAAATTTGCTTTGACTTAGTCCTGTTGAAGCTTCTGAAATATTCAGATTYTCAGTGTTCATGGAAAGACTGTGCAAAACAGCAAAGATAAATCAAATCTCCTTAACCATATGGTCTTTTTCCCTTCACATAACATATTTTATCTGTGTTAGAATATATTGATGGGTTTCATCCAGCCCGATGTTAATGAGACTTTGCAAGGCAAAGGAATAAGAACTTCTGCTATAGTATTTTAATTGTTGGTTACTGTGGTAGAGCAGACTTTTTGTTTCCAGAAAGGATCAGACAAAATATACAGCCTTCTTAGAAAGAAAAAAAAAGGCACCCATGAACAACTGACACTTAGTAAAGATTAAAAACAAGATTTTAAGGAACTGCTTGGGAAATACTGTCAGGATGAGTGAAAAGGAGCATGTTTTAATATGCAAAATGTAAATGCAAACAATGTATATTGAATATGCATTGAAACTGATACTTTTTCACTGGCTTTGAAAAGTTAATAGGGTTTTATGGAAGAAAAGCATCCAAGTATGAATTTATTATAACTACTGCTTAAATGTTCATTTGCACTAAAGAAACCCATGCTGTTTGAAAGGATATGGGAAAACACATCATGTTAAACTTGTGATTTAYTTTGGTGTCAACAAGGATGTGTTGTAAAGCTCTCAAGCTCACTGTCCATTTTTGAGCAACCCAAATTTGCATTCGCACTATTAGCTTTCTGCACCTTAAGCCCATCCACATGCCTGAAAAAAACACGTTTTCTAGTATTTACATGGAAACTTGTTCCCATTGACA